ATATTTTGACTATGTATGGGATAAAATGGAGATTTACACACTTCAAAGACTGTCACAGAAATAATTTGCACTGTATTATGCGCATACATAGATGAAAATTAGCATAGGCCTAATGTATTATATGTTGATAACAAAATTATTTTATCTGGTACCAATCTAAGCTCTTCTTTCGTAAGATGTTAGATGTGCTGGCAAAGAGAGCCACATTTCACACTGAATGGTGTGTACGACATCAGTAATGTTATGTCAATTCCAAGAATGTTTAAGGTTATATCGGTTGATGAGGAATTTATTGATTAGTAGGCCTATAATAGCAAATTGCATCAATTTATTTTGCAAAAACAAGGTTTCCAGCTTCAGAGGGGGGCACATCTCCTGTCCGCACAAGGGCACATATTGGTGCTAACACCAGGCGCGTAACAGGGGTCTTGGGTCAGATTGGGTATTTATTTTTTTATTTATTTTTTATTTTTTTATTTTTATAGAGGGTAACCCTTCTAGTTTAGCCCAGTAGGTTAATTGATATTCAGGACCCTCTTTAATAACATTAAAGAACAGTACAAACAACATCATTATAACATAATAATAACAACAACAACAACAACAACAACAATCCTCATTCACAATCTATACACATTGAGGCCCTTCTTTTAGGTTAAAATGATCTATCTTAAATTTTCCTTCTTGAGTTTGGGACTATTATGTGTTTAAATAACTTAATAGGATAAAACTAAAAAAAGCCCTGAAAAAAATATTTTATGTGTTCTTAATTCTAATTTCGTCGGAATTGATGAAAACTCCATAAAATGTGCAATTTATAGAGAATTAGCCTACCGTAACAAGAAATGCGCGCAAAGAATTTGAGAATTTTAGGCACTTTTAGAGGATGCATTTGTCAAGGGGTGGAGAAAGATTTTCCAAAGATGAATGTTTTCCCCTTGTACCCCAGTGTTTTTAATGTTAATTTCGTTGGAATTGATCAAAACTCCCTAAAATGTGCAATTTTTAGAGGAAATTGGGCCATGTTAACAAGAAATGCGCGCGAAATTTGAGGTTTTTAGGCACTTTCAGTGGATGAAAAGGCATTTATAAAGGGGTGGAGAAGATTTTTCAAAGATAGATATTTTCACCTTGTTCCCCAGTGGTTACGCCATCCGGCAGCAAAAATCAAAGGAGTTATGACAGTTTTTAAAGTGGAGAAGGGGTTGCAGAGTGTTGTGAGTCTGGTCATTATGATATCTTCCTTTTTATTCTTGTCTTTATTTTTCTCTTCTCCACCCCGCGCCTGTTACGACACTGGCTAACACGCCAATCATCCCCCCACCCAATGAAAAATATTTTTCTACGCCACTGTTTTTATGTGTGATAACAGAACCTAAATCGAGGTAAGGCTAGAAAGGCCTAGCCCAGCAGTGTTGGATAGGCTAATGTTTTCGCCATCTACTATATTTCTTCGCACGACCTATCGCAAAAGCAAACATGAACAATATCCACATTTATTTTTTGCGTGGAACACAAAAAAATCAAATTTCAGTCTTATTTTACATTTTTTTCATGTTTAGGAATGTCCAAATTCAGTTAAAATTGCAATTCCGTATTATATTTATAAATCTTTATAACATAATATACAAAAATTAGATTTTTCGTAACAACTGGAATTTTGCCGGGAATGGGGCTTTAATATTAAGTAAATAATTTCAATGAATATGCTTAATATTTTAGTATCCATTTAGCGCAAAACATTGGAAAGGTGGATAAAAACGATGAACAATGGTCTCTAAATTGACAAAATACGTTCCCATCATTTGTTTTTTATAACATAGGCCTATTACTCGGGAAAATCATCGAGAACGGGTTCGCATTGATTTACAGAGTTCATTCTAGAATAAGTTCTGACGGTCTTTTCCGTAGAACAATAAGTGCTTTGCCGGTGACCGTCGGTACAGCGTGTGCCTAGTGCCTATCCACATTTATTGAATTCTTAACTGCACAGGCTATAGTGTGGAATTAGTTGCCTCCAATAGTTCGAATATACAATGTAACACTAATGTTTACAATGTAGTCTTCTTATCGTTTACAATATTATTAGGGCCTACATGAACCTTTATCGCACGACGGTATATAGTCTTGAAGAGTATCGCATTCATCCAATCGTGTGTGCGTCGATCTATTCAAGTGCTGTACCGAATAAATTAGGGAAATCCTTGGCCTAATTTCTCATAGGGCGCCTACAATTCATTTTTTTTAAATTCAAATCTGGATCAAACTCAACCGCAAGCATAAAAAAAATATAAATAATCACACAACGTAAACACTAACTAAAAGTAGACTGAGTAATTGCAACAGGCATGCTCTTCGCAGTCTTGCCAGTAGGCCTAAGAAACAAAAATGGTAGTTGCGTTGTGGCACCGCCATGAATGATGAAACCTGAAATTTTAGTTCGGAATGATCGCCTGATAGTGTTACTACCATTTTTTCAATATTCGATGTGCAGTTGTGATACCAGTGAACTATACTGTAGTCTAAACATTGATAATAAATTAGACTCACAAAACGTTTAACAATAATATCTCGGTCATGTTTCAAATAACTGAAGATGCATTTTTTCCTTAGAGAAAACAATACTTAGTTATATTTTCCTTAAGTATTGAAATTGAACATGTTCAATCTCAAAACTGTGGAGTTGTATGACGATCTAGTAGCCCACACCCCAGCTAACATTTTTGCCTTAGCTTCACAGTTTGGTGTTGAAAACATCTTTAATTTTTGTAACGTTACTGAAAAACTGAAATGACTCTTAATAAATCTTGTATTATGACATAAATATAATTTATTCTTGTGCCACATTAAATTGAGATGACGTATTTTTAGCTAATTGTTAAATAACGTTTTTGACCATTCTAATCATTGTCAAGTTCAGCAGTGACGTCACCATTAGAGCGACAAATTACTTAGAATGAACACCTTCCTGCAACTTTTTGTTAGTCATTTTCTGACAACATATCTACAGCTTTCACAACGTTCCCGAACTTTATAGCATTTTCAGTTTGCTAATATTTAACCCATACCATGTGGTTGAAATCGATCTACACATTCCCCCCCCCCCCCCCCCCACCTCCCAAACTACAGTTCGATTGAAATTATACTATAAATAGCAAAAGATATGAACATCAATGTTCATTCATTCAGACAGAAAACAACGTAGCACAACACTTTCGAATTCAGTATATTAAACTAAATTATAATTATAATGTAAACTATAATTATTTTTTCCAATATCTTTACTTTGTCAGATTATCCATCAAAACATTATTCTTCAGATGTTTTTTATATTGTATTTCATACGGTTTTTTGAAGTAGGAACATCATAAAAGCACTAATGCCGACAGTAGCAGGGAGAGTGATGACCCATGCTGCAATGATAGAGTAGAATAACGTCCAGTCAACGGCAGTCTTTGTTCTTACCCAACCAACGGCGACAACAGATCCGACTTTACAATGCGTAGTGCTAACTGGTATTCCCAGATTAGAGGCAACCAGCACAGTTGTTGCAGAACCAAGCTCGATTGTAAAAGCACTGCAAAAGTCAACATAATTACAATGAGTAATGTTACCGTTGTGTTGAACATTATAAGCAATACGAATAATTCGAGTAAGTGTGGCTCACCAAGAACACAAAAGAAGACATTGACAGTTTAAATCGAACCATGTAGAGTCTGCCGTCCACACTCAGCTAACTCCCGTACCGCTGTGCCTCCTCTGTTCTTTTTTAATGTTACATGTTTAATAACATATATGATCATAATAAATAAGTGTTTAAAAATGCCGACCGATCGGTCCTGGTTTCCAAATGGCCCTGTCTGAGGCATCAATATCTTTTATTTTGGTCTATAATTATCTGCTGTATAAACCTGTTCGTATATTTTAAAAATTAAATTAGCCTATGTTTCGATGTCAACTAAAGAAAAAATCAATAAAGTAAAGCATATGCAAACACTTATACCGCATATTACACAAACCAAACCAAGTGTACCTTGATACTGTTAGTGGCGTCAAATCGTCACCCACAGTCTCTATAACTCTTTTACCAAGTACCCACAAACCGATTGAGACACCAATTGAGCCATAGACGAGTATCCATGTGGGAACCTCCTCTTCCTGTTGAACATCACCTGTTGTGTATATTACCCACAATGCCACAAATGGTCCTATAGCGTTACTGATAAACGAAGAAAAAATAATTATTCAATCACCATAACAAATGATTCAGGCATGTGTGCTTGTAATTCCAAAATACTTCAATCTATCTCACTAACGAAACATTATGGTCGAGTAAATCTGCCTTCAATGAGACTAAAGGAATCTGCTGGAAAACAGAACATAACAAACATAAGATCCCTGGACTTCCAAGGAAGTACGGTAATTAACCACAGTGAAGAAAGAATGACCCGAAACGTTTGACAAGAAAAGTTAAAGGATTTTTAATGAATTAATACGTCTGTATAATATGTACATATTTCAACAAATTGTTTTATATAAATTGAAACAATTGTATATTAAAACCATTAAGAGAAAATAATAAAACAGGTTTAGTATATGTTGAATATAAACTGTAAACATAATGTTCTGTAAACCTATTTTACTTAGTAAAAATGTAAATGTTTATATAATGTGTATGTACATAATATGTATGTGTATATGCGTGTATGTGTGTTTATGTATGAATACATAGCCTAAAACAAGAATAGGCCTATGTTTTGTATAAAATGTATACTGGAAAAAAAAAAGAGAATAAAGGTGAGCTGCTCCCACGACGAAAGAGAGAGAAAGAGATAAAAAGAAAAGTTTAAGAATACCTCCAAAAATGCCAGTCATTTTTCAATAGCAAAATAAAGAAAAAAATCACAAGGAAAAAATTCATAATGCTGAAGCGTTTCAGTGGATAAAGTCAGAGAAATATTGTAATAATAGGCATAGTATAAGAAAAACTCTTATTTAACCAGTGTACCACAAGTGCAAAGAAGGAGTTGGATCCAGAATATAAGCCTACCTATAAAACAAGTGACAAGGGCAATGAAAAAATGAAAAACAGGGGTGGCGCCCGGATGCAGAGGTCCATGATCGGGGGTGGGGCCGTTTCCCCAACGAGGGGGTCAGAAGTAAAGTGGGCGTGGTTGAGCTTCGATTGAAAGGTTACGAAAGTGGTCCAGGGTGCGAAGCCCCGAAAATTTTTACAATTTAGGGGTTTCAAAGGCTTATTTAATCGATTTTAGGGTCTACTAATATGTAGAATATACATACAATTTTTTTTCTCCCCGACGAATTGTGTTTTTTCTCCCCGACCCGTCTCTTATACACATCTAGATGTGTATAAGAGACAGGGATCAAACTCAACCGCAAGCATAAAAAAATATAAATAATCACACAACGTAAACACTAACTAAAAGTAGACTGAGTAATTGCAACAGGCATGCTCTTCGCAGTCCTCTTGCCAGTAGGCCCAAGAAACAAAAATGGTAGGTGCGTTGTGGCACCACCATGAATGATGAAACCTGAACTTTTAGTTCGGAATGATCGGCAAAATAAAGAAAAAAAATCACAAGGAAAAAATTCATAATGCTGAAGAGTTTCAGTGGAAAAAAGTCAGAGAAATATTGTAATAATAGGCCTAGTATAAGAAAAACTCTTATTTAACCAGTGTACCACAAGTGCAAAGAGTTGGATCCAGAATATAAGCCTACCTATAAAACAAGTGACAAGAGCAATGAAAAAAATGACAAACAGAGGTGGCGCCAGGATGCCGAGGTCCACGGTCGGGGGTGGGGGCGTTGTCCCAACGAGGGGGTCAGATTTCCCTGACGAAAGTAAAGTGGGCGTAATCGAGCTTCGATTGAAAGGTTTAGAAAGTGGTCCAGGGGGCGAAGCCCCGAAAATTTTGCAATTTAGGGGTTTCAAGGGCTTATTTAATCGATTATAGGGTCTACTAATATGTAGAAAATACATACAATTTTTTTTCTCCCCGACGAATTGTGTTTTTTCTCCCCGACGGGGGGGGGGGCAGCACTCCCCGACGGGAGGCCTGCTCCCCCCGGCTCCCTGGCGCCACCCCTGATGACAGATGGTGAAGTTCGTGTTGGCCACAAGTTTAGCTAACGAGCTAAGCTGCTGCTCTCATTGGAATGGTGTATTTCCTCATACTGTATTTAGTTGTTCAAAGCTAATTAACTGTTAAGAGGTTTGTTTTTCAATGTATCCCAGTCTTTAACGATGTCATTATGTTACTGACCTGATGTCATTGCCACCGTGTGCAAATGCTCCAAATATCGATGACAATACCTGGAGTGGTAAACAGATTTTTGTGACATGTGGGTGATCTTTAACTTGTCTCCACTCTGGATCGTCGGCATGACGATTAACGGTACTAAATGTGCGCTTCTTCACTAAAATGAACAGAATACATGTATTATATGCTGGTATTCATTCTGTGCAAATCCAAAATTAAATTTTTCAAAATCTAGCCCTCGAATAAACGATGGTTCTTATTTCTTCTGCTACAAATTGCCGTGATTGAATTGTTTTAAAGTGTATGCAATTTGCATAGGCCTACCTCCGTTCATATTCAACGCAGTTTGTTTCGATTGATCATCATCATGTGGTAGGCCTATCTTTTCTTTATTTGCATCTACTTCGACTGTACTCTTCGACTTTTTTAGATTATTACCGTGAATTTCACCAGCTTCCGGAATTGAACTTGCATCTAACTCTGTAATTATGAAAACAGAATGGCAAAAATAAACACTTTTGATCAATCGGCGGTCTTTGACAAATAGAGCCTCATAGCCTCTTTAAAAAAAAACGGACGAAAACTTGTCTACGTGATAATTACCGGACATAGCTAAATTGTGATAAAAATCTTCGTCCTCCGTTTGTGTTGTTTGAGATACCATTCTAATTTCTCCACCAATGTGATATCCTTAAAATAGAAAAAAAATATTAAAAGCTGAAATTAAATTCTTTAAATTGACTTGAACATCTATGTTAATTCGATGAATTAAAACAAAAAAAAGTGTCTCTCTAAAAACAAACGGAAATAAATTGAACAACATAAACTTACCTAAGATTAACCGTCTCACTCTTGGAACATATATCAACCAGACGAGAGAACCAACAAGAAACCCGGTTCCAAATGCAATCAAAAGCACAGCCCATGCCATCAACTCACCGAGTGCTGTGAAC